TTTTAGCTAAATGCCGCCCGTTAGGCTAATCGACGACGATATAGTCTAATGGCCTGAAAAATGCATTAACCTTGCATTAACAAATAGAAAGTGTAAAAATTAATAAATTGACTTCAGGTATGAATTGACTATGTTATCCTGTATTAACAAATAGTAATGTAGTAATAATTGTGTATTAAATAAACAACGCATCGAGTCTCAAAACAAGCATTTCTTTAATCGCCTAAAGCGCATCAGGCCGTTAGGCGAAAAGCCGACTTGTCGTCTAACAGGCTGAATTTTTCAGGCCATTAGACTATATCGTCGTCGATTAGCCTAACGGGTGGCATTTAGCTAAACGCCTAGGCTTTTAGCTAAATGGCTAATTTCGCTATCGGGTTACGACATATACATATAAAAAATATATAATACCATATATGTACATATATTATACCTGTACAACAATAATAGATCGACAATAATACTGCATAAGAGATATGTACAGAATCGCAGTACTGAAACATCGGGAGAAATTTTTTTAATTAAACTAATATCAAAGAAACTGTTAGAAAAACGTTTATTCCATACAAACAAAATAAAATTTACAGTGTTTTTGAACGTATACTATCTTGGAGATAAACGTCTTAAAGGTTAACTATATGTATATTATAAGTTTCCATACAAATTCATTTTAAGATTCAATGTACCTTGGCGGAGATAAAATTCATAATTTGAATTGTGAAATGTCTGCATCACAAATTCATTTTGACAGACTCAACTGCCTGCATTTCAAAAATACAATTCGCATATACATATTTGGAACGTTGGGACATTTGGCATTTTTTAAAAATAAAGTATCGGTCGTTAACGTTATTTTGAGGTGCTGTTTTCAAAAATATAACTCACCTAAACGTATAAAAAAAAACCTACTTTAACAACTTTGACTGAGGTTTTCTCAAAAACCTGACGTTATACGCCATTTTTACTGACCGATTCGTTTTCAACGTGCAAAAATCCCTCAGAAATAATATATTTGATTAAGGTCCGTAAAACCTTTTCTTTTTGTAGAACAGTGTAACCAGTCGTGTATCGTGTTTTTGAACTCATTGAAACAATAATGCAATCGTTCTGCAAAGCGTCTTAAAGTATGTAAGTACATTAGTATTCATGCTATTGCAGTATATTACATAACCACCGATACTGATTGAATGATTGTTCTGCGTGCAAATGTGCGATTCATCCATTTTAACAATGATAATAAGGGAATAATGATAGGGAGTGAACAGATACTGCGTACTAAATACATACATATTATTAATCATTTATTTATGTATCTTCTTTCTCTTTATTTATGATATTAGTTAAGTTGACGAGAAAATGTCAAGATGTCTGTGTTGCCAGTCTGTTACGTGAAATAATATTGCGGTGGAGCTACTACTATCTTGAAATGAGGAGGAGAGGAGGAATAAGTGCACCAGGCACGATGCTCACTCGGTTTTAGAATCTGACAGAAAGACCACGCGAGAAGTTTTGCGCAACAATGTTAAGTCGTTCCGTATTCCTTGTTTGTTGTTTTTTAATGGGTGATCTCGTGATAGCGTCGAAACCATTGTCAATTTTATTGATAGAGAGTATTCCGTCACCTAGTCACCACGTCTGGGTAACCCATTTAGTTAAAGGATTACTTCGCAGGGGCCATCATGTGCACGTAATGAGCATACAAGAAACCAAGATCAAGGGTAAACTCGCGCAGAATTTGACATACGCCGTAAGTACACGTTATGAAACACGAAAACATTCTGAGAGGCACAAATACGATATCTGCAATTTACAAAATACGCAAAACAAATGAAAAAAACTTGTAACTGTTCTGTGTATTTTAAAAAGTTGATTCCTATTTTACGTAAGATCGATCTGCTTTTGAAGATCCTGCTCTCTAAAAGTCAATCAGTAGATTAGCATTGAAAACAGTGAATACTCACCGATTCGCAGTTAGAAGTACACCACTGCGATTTTCAGTGTAAATGTACTTATAATTGTAAATTAGTGACTATTCGCTGTTTTCAGTGATAATTCACATCTTCATGTGTGAATGTGTCATCTCCGATACAGCAAAGGATATTCAGAAACAGCATAGAGAATCCAAGAAGAATTCTTGTTGAATTCACATGGAATTCACCGTGCTTTATGCGAAGTGATGAAGCTAGTAGAGCTGAGAGAGACAGAGAATAAAGATACTCTCACATTGCTACGTTCAAGCGTAATGTTCTTCAATGCGACTTCGACACATGTCAAACGACAAACGTCAAACGGATTGAAGCGTCGCATGCT